AGATAGGACTCGCGTTGTTCACGTTCTCGGTTTGACTTGAATCCTGTCTCTAAGAGCGTAACCGTTAGTTTATCGAAGGAGTGTTTTGGCAGGCACACATGTTTTGAAAGAGGAAGATTTGGGAGAGATACTGCATGCGCTCTATGGTTTGTTTAAAGCGCAATCTAAAAGCTGTTTCGGTTTGTCCTACGTATTGCATGTCGCATACGCTACACTGAAGCAGGTAAATAACGTTTGATGAATCGCACGAGAGCTGACTTCGGATCTTGATATTTAATGGCGAACCGGTGCTGCTGGCTGTGCTGGTTTCTCGCATTTGTTTGCATATTAGGACATTTAGTTTTCATGCAGGGTTTGCATCCATTATTAGACTGTGACAGATTTAGTTTGGATTTTACTAGGGTATCTTTGAGGTTGCGCGATCGTCGATAAATTACGCCAGGTGCTGATGGAAACGTTCACTTTGTTCGAGGATATTATAATGTCGTCTCAAGATGGTTATTCACTTGAGGATAATTGTTGCTATATGTGAGGCATAGGTTAGTGCGTTGTGTGTCACGTTGCTTTGTGCGGTTCTCCAAGAGATCAGCGCGGTTCAATTCGGAAGCTTTCTTAATTGCGTCGTCAATCACGCGGGGGGATTTCTGATGCCTGAGTACGGTTCTTAGTTTTTCTGCGTTTATATCAAAGTCATCCTTTTTTCGCGCATATACGTTTTAAAGCGATGGGCTTGGCTATAAGGTATGCTATTTTTGCAATGAAGTGGGTGGTCGCTCCTATAGTGAAGGTACTGCTGTCGGTCTGATGGTTTGCGGTACAGTTTTGTTGTCAGTTTGCCATTTGTCTATCGTTACAGTGACGTCCAGGAAGTTGACACTGGTACTGGAGTAGACGGGGGTGAACTTGATGGTAGGGTGAGCTTGATTGTACTCGTTTATAAAATAACGCAACTCATCTTCGCCATGTGTCCAGATAATAAAAATATCGTCAATAAATGTTTTGTAAACAAGTGGTTGGAAAGGGTAGTCAGCTAGAAATTTTGATTCTAGCATTTCCATAAATATGTTAGCATAACTCGGTGCCATTTTGGTGCCCAGTGCAGTACCGCTAACTTGCCTAAAATGTTTGTCGTTAAATTCGAATGCATTTAGTTCTAGCACAAGCCGCGTTAAGGTCGCAACGACATGACTATCCGGAGTGCCTGTTTTTCTGTGGAGCTCATACATATCAATTAAAGCAATTATTCCGTCATCGTGTGGGATGTTTGTGTATAAAGATGAAACGTCTAGGGTGACTAGAAGAGACCCTTCCGGTACGTCAAGTCCTGATATTTCTCTCAGAAAGTGTGTGGTGTCTTTAATGTAAGAGGAAAGACTTAAAGGTATGTGGCGGATTAGTTCATCTACATAGCCCGAAATCGGTTCAGTTATTGTGCCTACACCAGATATAATTGGGCGGCCAGGGTTCCCTGTTTTGTGGATTTTCGGGAGCATATAAAAGCGACCAAGAGAAGGATGTGCTGGTGTTAAGAGTTTGTGTTCGTTCGCTGTGATCTTGCCGCCTTTCAAGAGTTCCTCGAGTGTTGATGATACGATTTTTGCATAGCGTGGCGTAGGGTCACCAGTAAGGTGTTCATAGAAGTTTGGATCATTTAACTGGCGATTCCCATCTTGAATATAGTCATTTGTATTGAGTATCACAATTGCACCACCTTTATCTGCTGGCTTTATCACGATGTCGCTTCTTGTGCTTAAAGATTTCAGCGATTCTGTCTCAGACTTCGTTAGATTGTGGCTCTTCTTTCCGCCCTTGCGGTATTGTTTTAAAATATCTGGCTGTACAGCAGCTATATATAGGTCTAGGCAATTGTCACGGCGAGTGTTTGGTGTCCAGTCATATTTCGGTCGGGGTCGGGCATCGTCAGAGTTGGAGGGCTTGTCTAAAAAGTATTCGCGTAACCGCAAATTTCTGGAAAAGTCATCTAGGTCTTTGAGGATTTGAAACTCATCAAAAAGTCCGGTGGAAGAACAGAAGTTTAATCCTTTCGACAGCAGATTTTCTTCATCAGCTGATAAAGGTATACCTGAAAGGTTCACAATAGCGGGACCACCCACTCCATTGATATCCGACGGGTTTACCTCGGCGCGTCGCGTGCTCTCTGCCGCGTTACTAGGCATGTGGGTATCCACATTGTCATTAAGAAATGTGGTTGGAACTAATACGGTGTTCGAAACCTTGTCCCGCTTAAGCTTGCGTAGTTTGATAATCTCAAGTTCGCGGCGCTTTTTTTGTTCAAACTCAGTTAGGGCGGTTTGTTCGTCCTTTGACAGCGGGTCACTCAAGCGGAGTAGGTTAGTGATTGAGGTGTTTACTTTATTTAACTGCTTCTCACTATTATTGATAACTATTTTTACGAGTTTCAGTGATGCATCTAGAAGAATACTATTCCATTCCGATTGGTCGTTTTGCTCGAGGTTTGCAATAGCAGAGGAGAGAGGAAGCAACATGCCCTTAGGGGCGACGCCTGTATTAAGGTATACTTCCAATGTTATTTTATGTAATTCATGTCTGACCCGTTTATCGGCGAGTTTTCGTAATTTAAGAAAAGTGGTGCTATAGCTTGAGTCTAGAGAGTTGGGCTTACTATTGTTGAGTCAATCCTTCCTTGGACGAGGATCCTGGGTGGCTGTCTTGCGAAGGTTGTAGCCCCTTTCCGCGGCGGATCTTGTAAGCGGTGGCGGCCGCGTAACACGGACAGCCCTCCGGGTGTCCTGGGTGCAGCGGATGGTGTTGGCAGAAGGGGCGTCCTAGCCCCTTGTACGGGGGTCCTGCTTTCTTGTCCGGGGGGGGGGGGGGGGGGGGGGTCTTGGCTCCTTGTCTGGGCGTCCTGGCTCCTTGTTCGTTGGCTTCGGCGGGTGTCGGGAACTGGATCACGTCGAGGCTGTGGTCGTTGGCGTCGGGTGCTGGCTGGGGTGCTTGACGGCGTCGAGCAGATTTGGTGAGACTCACTGACTGGCCATCGTTGCGATTGACCCCCCTATCTTGGTGCGGAGGAGCGGTCACCGTGTTCGCTGCTGGAGTGGAGACAACCGGGATTTCCGAAGTCCATCCGGACGTCGCCGTACTTGCTCCTCGCAAAAGGAAGCCCTTCAAGTGTTGTGCTGGAAGGGCGACTCCGGAGAAGCTTGGGTGGAGTCCGTCTGCGGCCAGGAATCGGGTCGGTGGGAGCGACTCAAAGTCATGTTCCAGGAAGGCAACTTTGCCTGGCTTGCGACAGTACGCCTTCACAGTCTCGTT